GTATAAGAGAGAAAATGGTGAGAAAATAAAAGCACTAAAGATTACCTGTTAGGGAGCCATCAGTGTCCACCAGCTGCACTTCATGCTCCCACCTGAAGCCGGCCTTGTTGGGTGAGTTCATGTACTGGATGCCACTGAACCTGGCAGCCCAGCCACCACAGAGCTCCACACACACCCCGTCGATCGAGGTTACCCCGACGTTTGCGCAGGAGCTGCGGTTGAAGTTGATGAACTTGCTGTTAATGACGCTCATGCCGTCGTCGAAAGGCAGGATGACGCCGCGGTGCGTGCAGAAGTTGCTGCCTAGTCCGAGCTCGTCCACGTGACCCACAAAGGTGCTATTGGACACCGTCGCCCCGCCGTCTTCTCCAAAGCCCTTCACAGCCCATTGAACGATACGCTTGGCTTCGATGCCTGCTTTCTCATTGTTGACCATGAGAAAGTTGTTGAACTGCACGGCGCCTACATTGACCCACTCAGCACCCTTTTCGCAGTTCCAGGTGGTGAGAGAACGGAAGACAGCGGGCTCGGGGATCGAGGACTGGCACCCTCCGTTCTTCATGGGGAAAAAATCTTGGAAGATCCACAGTCCAAACCAGCCCTGAGAGTGCACAGTGTTGTTATAAAACTCACCAAGGGGAACTCTCTTCTGGCAGATGTTTGGGTTGTAGGAAGGGCCATCAGGGCGGTCATGCATGCGGTACCAGAAGCCAAAATGCGTTCCCCCTGCAGCGGCATTGTGGCGAATGATGTTATTGGGATTTGTGACCCAGTAGCCGGCGGGAGTGACGTCATCATTTAGCAGGCTGGTGCTTTGTTTGACAAACACAGCCAAGTTGTACTGCAGGATGTTCTGTGTCTCAATGCCGTCCTCAATGAAGAAAGCCCCACCCATGATGTTGTAGATCACATTGTGCTCCACCAGAAGCCGGTGGGTGTTGTGGATGGTTACGGCCCTGTTGAAGGTCTGATGAATCGCACAGCCCCTCACGTACGACTTGTAATTGATGTCTCCCATCAGATGCCAGTGGATGGGATAACGTCCCAACCTGAAGGCCTGTCCGGCGTGAAAAACCTGCAGAACAACAGCACAAAGACTTCAAACTTTTAACACACTAATAATAATTTTAAAAGATACTATAGTATAGAAATGTTTAGAGAATGAAAATACATTTTACCTCAACATATTCCAATCGGCCAATCGCAAGATTCTCGTTTGGTCTGGGGGCGTGGAACATGATGCAACCTCCAAACTGATCGCTGCCGGCCTCCTCTCCAAACCGTCCTTGGAAACATGTCTGGGTGGTAAACTCACCTGACGGACACAGAAGTGCAAAAATGTATTAAATACAGTGTTGCTCTTGTCTCAGAATTAGTATGCAGATACAGCAGAGGAGGGTTCAAGCCATATATACAGAAAAATATTTTACTTTAAGGCTGACAATAACAAAAAAAAAACCCATCTGATGTGTCTGAAGAAAATCCTCATCCACCATTATTACTAAGTACCTGTGTTGAAGCCGCCCGGGCAGGCTTCAACCTTGTCATTCCATTCTTGATTCTGTGAACCTCGCACGACGATGTTCCTGGTGAGGAGCCCCACCTCAGCTCTGCCCTCAAACACCGTACCATCAGGCAGCGTCACGGACACCCCGAGGTGAGTGTAGTTCAGCGGTT